TAAATTCCATCGTGGCTTGCTTTCGTTACAACTAAAAAGGAAGCACAATAAGACGGGGACGAGAAAGGAAAGAAACAAGCGCTCACTACCAACTAGTTTATTCAAAAAAAAAGTCTTCCCTTCCTTTCTTGCCCCTGTCTTAATGTACTCTTTTCTTTCATTGCAGCCACGAAGTACCTTGCCCAGCAAAGAATTTTATAATGCTTTCTTTGACTGTACTAGACACTCTCAGTAGATAAGCCCCAGTCTTGCCTAGCACCTAGCTTATGCAGGGTGCTGCAGAACAGGTTCAGCTAGACTTGGTATCCTCCCCTCTTTCCTCAGTAGGGACCGTGCCCCTTGTGCTTCAAGTGCTCTCAGTGCACTTACTGATTTATTATTTACGTTCCCTTTGAGCCTTAAATTGATATTCTTTTAAAATAAAAAGCAGACAATAGCAGCAGCAGCCTCCCCCGCCACTCCACTCTCTATCTCTCTCCATGGGAATATTTTAAGTTCCTCCTGATGGCTAAAATAATTTTGAATGCAATAGTCTGCATTTTTATGGTGTCCATCTGTAACCTGATACATCATCAGGGTGTCTACCAACCTGAAATTCTCAGGGAAATCGTCAAAAAGTTGGCTTCATCAGGGAAAATGACCACTGAGAGTGGAACGGCGATACGAAACAAAGCTTGATGGTTGCACATGGGCACGACTATGCTGAATAATGTTTCCGAATTATGATCCTTTGACCCAGGAGTGGTCAGGAAGTTTTTATCAAAATAGTCAAGGGAAATTTTAGAAAAGTCGAGGAATTTGAAATCAGAAATTTGGTAGACACCCTGATGCACTAGTTCCACCGTACAAAATGCTTCACAATCAAGTGAGAATTGGGGAAAGCAAAATATAGAAAGGCAGCAATGGGCGTCTGCCTCACTTGCCTTCACCCTGTTGCATAGACTTTCCATCTATGACACTGCGGGCACTTAACATGTCCTCGACAATTTTACTTTGCTCACCTACAACTTCGTCCGACTTCCAGAACTTATTTCTTATCATTGGCTTTTTTTTTCCCAGGACCCACCCGGTAAAGACTTTCGGGAACCCGGCGTTACTTTTCACTGGAAAGCACCCATGGACATCTGGCAGCATGTGCGTTGTCTGCGAGGCCCTATCAATCGACATCCTGGACTTTTCAGCAGGAATCTCTCGGGTATTAGCCATGTACTGAGCATAGAAAGGTCAGTATGTGGGGGGAATCGACGAAGCACACTTTTTGTGTTTGAGCACCCTCATGGGTAAAAAAAATACAAAGATTTCGGTAAGAGCTGTGAAAGTTGTGACAGCACTTAAAGCACATTCCTAGAACAGGGAAAAAGAATTACCAATATTGGTTACTCTTTTAATGTTTTCCATATGTATTTGGTGAATATTCCAGCTATAATACAAAGGTTTGTGTGTTCCATTGTGTATCTAAACTTCTGTTAGATTTTTTTTTTGTGCATCTGTTGATATGAGGATTCAAACCATAGAAGAAGAAACTGCAAAAAGAAAAACAAAGCTTTGAAAAAACAGCAAGTAGGCAAACAAAGCTTTTAGGAAACTTGTTGTAATTTTTTTTAATTCTAATTTAATCCTCAACATCAAGCAGGCAAAGCAAGCCTTCACAAAACTTGTCATTGTAATTTATTTTCGTTCTTGTCTAATAGTTATACCAGTTTTGTGTATTAGTATTATTTCTTATGATGTTATTTGTTTAGTGTTTGTGATAAAACCCCTGTGATAAGCCGAAGCAGGCTTTTGAGCCAATATGTATCACATTAATTTCTAATAAAGTAATTGTTTTAAATACTTGTGGCTTGTTTTGCAGTGCCTGCATGGTAGGACTCATAAAGTTGCATTTGCACAAATGGCAGTGATATGAGCTGAGAGAAAACAGCTATCTTTATTGTTAAATTTGAAGATTCCTGCAATTTATTGCCACCCACCTGTCCACTCAAAGCAGGCATAAAGCAACAGAACATGCTCGTTCACACCAGCTCTTGCCAATAGTATAGACATGTGACAAAAAAGATATACAACCTATTGTAAATGATAAGTAAAACTAAACTAATAGAAAGTTAAGCTGCCGATTAAAAAAAAACTTTTACTTTTTTTTTGTTGTGTGCAAATTCCAATGTAACAAAACAATGCTGTCCTGAAAGCTTCTGTTGTGTTTCATAATAAATTTTAGAGCCGCATTCAGTTCAGCATCGTTAAGACCATCATCGTTCATTTTTCCATGTTTCATTACAGGAAATTGTAAGATATCAGAGGCCAGATTCACGAAACGATCTTACGCCAAAAATGTGCGTAAGACAAAACTTAAGAACGAATCCGTATTCACGAAACGAAATTTTCGTAAGTTTTGCGCAGGTTACGACGAAATCCTACGACAGCTCCGAAGCTGTCTTACGCACTTCTTACGATCAAATCAGCATGGCCGACAGCGTCGCTCAGTTGGTCGCGACAACCAACGGATGTTTATTTTTCTACGTGCACTTCTCCCGCGTCCCGACTTCAAGCAGCAAGAATCAAGTAAAAAGTACTTGAAACAGACCACGACGAACGAACAAGAACGCTGGATCCAAAGACACCCGGGAAAAACTCCAAGGGCCACGGGTACGGACTCCGACCGATCGGCAGATAGGCCTAGCAGGCACTCCGACTCGGCGCAGCGATGATCTGACGGTCCTTGGTGAAGACCGTCTGCCCACGACCGGCCGGCGTGCTGAATGGAATATGCCCGCGCGACCCTTGTGAACCCTTCCCGTATTATAGTTTGATCGCTGACCTCAATTCTAGATTAAGAGGTCAATCTCTTCCTCTTATCATCTCCTTGTTTTCCGAGGCAACGGTGACGAACGCTGTCGTCGAAAAGGGGCTCTCATCGATTCTATCTCTGTTTTGTGTGATATCAAGCTCAAATAAACGCCGTATGGATTACCTTCGCAACATGGTATGTACACTTTGCTATTAGTATTCCATTTTATTCTGACACGACTGCACCTCACTGTCGATCGCTGTAACACTTCGTGGGTCGCAATGCCGGTCCAACCTTTCTTCGCCGGGTGCCACGTCAGCATCGAGTTGCAATTGTAAAGGATCGGTCCCGAAGCGCTTATCAATTCACGGTCCAACAGCGCAAATCCAGCACTTCGATCAAACGCGCGCGTCCGCTCCGTAGTGTAAACAAACATTTACGTGGATCTTGCTTACACTGTCGTAGTTCAAACGTATCTTTTTTAACGTCGGCTCGCTCCTGCATCTCCGAGGCCGCAAAAAAAAAAAAACGCCGCGGCAATTGTTTCCTATCTACGTCGCTTTGCAAACGACTGCGGGCCGTCTTTTACCAACGATGACAGTTGTGTTGACTTGGTAGCGATCGAGTTCGTAGCAGTCAATCGCGGTGGTTACGCATCCCGGCCTCGGCATTCGGGCCAGTTTAAATCGTGTTAGCGTCGACATATCACTGCACGAATACGAACCCCAGGCCAGCGGTGGCAGAAAGGCCGCCTGTGTTTGTTATGAAAAATCCACGTGCTCCGAACGGCTCCGAACGGCTCCGAACGGCTCCGAACAAATGCCGAGCTCTCCGATTGGTTGTTCGTGCTGCCGAAGACGCCGTCGCCATAGCAACAGCACCGGTAAGTTTTAGTTTCTCCGTAAGACAACGTCGCTTTCCTCCTCTCACTTAAGAACGCGTTCGTGAATACCGATTTCTCCTCTTCTTACGATGTTCTTAACTTACGAGCTTCTTAGCTAAGTTGTCGTAAACTAAGAAGTTCTTCGTGAATCTCGCCTCAGTTCTGCATTTCGACGTTTACACTTGCAGACAATTGATGTTACCGCTTCTTTTAGGTGGAATCAAAGTTTCCATTTCAACTTTTATACTTTCACACAGTTGATGTTACTACCCTTGTTTTAGAGAAATTCTAGTTGAACCTCGCAGGCGGCAAGAAGTCTCCTAACGATCACAATGCCTCCCTTTGTTCAACAAACTGATACTTGACTAGGGCTGCTATACTCCAGACAAAGTGAGAGTCAGCACTGACTATCTTTCGGAGAGTCGCTCATACACTCCCATGACTCTTTTGCGATAGGAGTCGGGGGACTCTTCATAAAAGGAGGGTCCTCACAACTCTTGTTACAGAGTCACGGGGATTACCAGGAAGGACTCGTGTGACCCTTTTCTCTTTTGGATAAGAGTCGTTAAAAAGTCGCAGTTGACTACGTCACCTGGTGTCGCCCATACACTACCATGACTCCAGTGTGATGAGAGTCGCAGGACTCTTCTTTAAATAAGAGTCAAGTGACTACAAACTGGAGTCGTGGAGGGGTCAAATCTGTAGCGCGCAAAGGAGTCGTGGCGACTCTCTTTAAAAAAAGAGTCGAGGGACTCTACAAACTGGAGTCGATTCTGCGGCGCGCCAATACCCCCCAAAGAGAGTCATACCGACTCTTTTTTTTAAGAGTGTATCTTGCCTCAAGATTCGAGTAAGGGAACTGGTAATATTTCCTGTCAAATATCCGATTTCATTAAATCTTGCCGAAGGATGTCAGACAGGCGCAGTTAACTCATACCAGTAACAAATCAATTAATTTCATCAAATGTCCGAGATCAGTCTAGTGCATGAACACATAAAAACAAGAATACACACACTAAAAGCGCCACTCACCGGGGTCTACTTGTATGATTAGTTTTGGAATGACGGAGCTCACAAGAACATGACGACCACCATGGCGTTGTACTCTTGACGCTGTTTGATCGCATCCATCGGCTCGTAGCTTCAGTTGCGTTCGTACTTAAGGTGAAACGAAGTAACAAATGTATTTTATTTAATAGAGCAGGCAGTTCCCGTACGCCGTTGTTTTCTCAGACCTCATGGCCCATGGAAACCGAAAACGTCGGTGTTTGCAAACTAACCACCGGAAATGCTCTCTAGGAGAGCCACGTTGCATGGCGTCAGGTTGATAGTTCAGTTCAAGCAACTTTCGTTAAAGCTGTAGTATTTTTGCCCTATTCCGCAGAGAAGATCGAACATAAAATTGCAGAACGTTTTGTTCTTTCCCAGGGCGCTCTCGGGAACATGGAGGGTGCACGCCTCATCTGCATGGTTGGAAAACAAAATTTCTTGTATATCCTTTGCAATTCAAGAAAGTAGGGTGAGGGAAAGGAATGTTGGGGAAGAGGAAGCAGATGGAACGCGGGAGAGGAGAGGGGGAAACCCTCTCCTCTTTTCAGCCTTCTTCTGCTTCCTCCACCACTGCCTTCCTTCACCTCGCCCTAACACACCTTGTGTTGCCGTCGGCTATAGTACTTCCGTTTTGTAGCGTCGAATCCCGTTGATCCAATTTTATTTTTAAAAAAATGGTTTACCTTAAGACTGGGTATTGCAACATTTTAAATAGTATTGCTGGCGTGTCCAAATACTATGAGAAAAACACGAGACGTAAAATATGCATGTTTGAGAATAAAAAGAACAGGTCAATATGATGTTTGGCTTTGGTTGTCTACCATAATTTTCCTGTCACATCGCACATTGAGTGCATTTGTTTTCACCTGTCTTTTATACTTTTTTTACCATTAGCGATTATTTAATTGAGAATATAGCGCAAAGTACAGCCAATATACTGTTTTTTTTTGTTCGCGTAATACGCATTCAAAATAAGGGAAATCGTTTCGAACATCTTGAAATTGATATCCGTCGAAAAGACTACATAAGTTTAAATTTTGTTTTCGTATGGATATTTGGTGTGGCATTATGAAATATGGGTCATCTGGGTACATTTGTTTTAGCCGGTAGTGTGCTGTTTAAAACGTTTTCTTCTTGAACTACGGTCATTATGATTAAAGTCCAAGGGACACACATAGTCCAAGCTTTCGCTCATCCAAAAATTTCGCTAAAGAAAACTGTTCTACTGGCTCCGTCGGCTAGCTCAGTTGGTAGAGCGTGAGACCCTTGATCACAGGGTCGTGGGTCCGGGAACCACGTTGGGCGCCAAATGTGGAAACTCAGAAACAAAAACCGAACTCTCTCGGTGCTCAAGCCCCGGCTGCCTCGCGCGCCCGCCGGTCACCCGGTTGTCAGTCGCCTTCATTTTCTTTGCTTTGTTCCCCAGAAAACCTATTTATTATATTCCCATAGTTTCAGATATAGTTTTCCTGCATCACGGCGCACTAGTAGCACCAGTAAAAGCTGTCCTTATAAATTCCTGACCAGCAATATCGGCAAACCATTTCACTCTCTACGGTGCACTGGTGACACCATGGAACGCTTCGATTTCATGTTTGACCAGTAATATGGGCAAGCAGTTTCGCTCCTTAATGAATGAAATTTTAGTGGCAAAAGGAGTCGACGTATTTAACCGCTTCGCATTTTTCATTATTGTTTTGTTAGGCAGTACACTTCGAGCTTGGTTTTTTTAAACAAAGAGGAACCAAACAAATCATTAAAAACATTCCTCACTGTAATATATTAATAGCATGAATGTACACACCTTCAACTTCTTGTCACTCGTGAAAAAAATGACGAGTCGCTGGGCTTTAAATGCATGTGCGGCGTCTGAAATTCCACAGAACTGGTGTGCATGCGCTGAAGGAGCTTGGTGGAACGCTTTATACGCAACGCGGATCCCAACTAAATGCGAATAAGCCCGCGACTAAAGCCTATTGCTTTGTTCACGTCTACAAAGGTATGCCAGCTTTCTCCGTTGTGAGTAGATCCGCGTTACAGATGCCGTTTTCAAAACGTATATGCCTCAAGTTTAGCGCCATGCCAATTACTCCGTTCTTAAAGATAAAATAAAAGAGAGGCCGGATTCAGAAATCTCTACGAATATAAATAGCAATGTGTCATTAGACTGACTACAACGACGAAGTCTCATTTGAAATGTACGTTGTTATTTGAGATTTTTAAGCTACAACGTTGAGCAGTGAAGTTTCTGCCTCGTTTTTTTTCTTTTTTTATGCCAAAACGAGCGACGGCGGAATTCTCAAGTACAACGAAAATCGCACGATGTGAATACGTCTTCAGATGTGGTATGAAATTCACGACAGTCCAATCAAAGAAGAGCAACGGTCAAAGGGAATACAGTTGTTGAAAGCTGGTCTATTTTAGCGACACAAAATTATATTATTTTTTCGAAATAAAAAAAAAACAACGAAACGAATACGAATCTTTAACGTCTGAAACAAACTTACCATTGACGTATCTGTTTCTAAAGATTGTGCACTCGTGACAGTCCAGGTAAGCAAGGTACACCAAACCCGAAACGTTTTCTGAAAAAAAAAAAAAAAATCGGAATCACCAAAAGTTTGAGTCTTGAGAGCTCATTGTATAGACCTTTTCCGCTTATTCTCGCGCCCGACCGCCAAGTAGGCATATTCATTATGGGCGACAAAAAAATATTAAAACGTTTCAACTTGCAAATAATAAAAAAATAGGGGGGAGACAGAACGAGAATGGGTGACGATTACGCTTATCTCCTAAGTGCATTCTGTTTGTGTGGCGACGGCAAAACAATGTTTTCGCCCACACTGGAAGTGACGATACTTCAAGATGGCGCGCCCTTCTGAAATAGGTCTATACCAGGGTTATAAAGGGTGTGGTACACCCTTGAAAAGCTCGTGCGTCTGCGTTTTTGCCCAAGTTTGGTAGGAGAATCAATGGAAGTCAAGTCAGTTCTAGTCGAACTTTTTTTATTTTTTTAAGCAAGTTGTTTCTTCCTAAGATATACGATTTGGCAAGGGACTCCAAGTATTGCATGAAAACTGTCGAAGGAACTCCTTGGTATTAAAAAAAACAATCATAAAGAAGTTTTCCCTATTGAAAATATTTCTAAAGGGCCCGTCAGCCTTGAAGGATTATGGGACCTCACAGGCCTTCAAGACCCTTCAAAAATACCCTACAGAAATAACTTTCAGGGATGCCCCATAGAAAAACCCTTTAGCCCCTCAGCCCTTCAACCCGTCAGACCCTTTAGCCCATCACCCCTTTAGACGCGCAAATGACTGTGAACTATAAAAAAATGCAGTTCAAAACATTATTGAAAATTTATTGCAGACATTTAGTTTTACATGCATATTATAACACAAAAAGGTGATAAAAAGCAACGTTTGTTCAAACCCGGCGAAGGAGCGGTAGACGAAAGAGATCACATCAAACAGGGACAACCGACTTCTTTATCACAAAGAAAAATATATTTCGAAGTACTCACAATGCCGCTGGGTATATTCCTGATGTACGGTAGTTCAGCTAATAAAACCGAGCAGGTGCACCTCACGTACACATACACAGTCTCAGTAAGCGCGTTTAGAAATCCCGAGCACAGTCACGGTTTCGTCCATGATGACGTCGCGCCGGCGTCTTCGGCGTATTTTTCGCTCGCTGGATGCTTCTGAAGTCAGACGGACGAAGAGGCGCAAAAACAAAGTCTGGACAGCGACCGTCATCCACCGTCTCAGGGCCCACAGCGCCATAATCCCGGTGCGCAGGCACAACATGCGGTGGGACGCTGACCCCGACTGCCAGGCTTTGCAGCGAGTAAGCCGACACCGGCCACCATCTTCTTGAATGCGCTGAACACGACGGCGCTCGAACGGTGCTGAAGGCGGCCAGCGCCGAACTATGGTGCACCTGCGGAACCAAGGAAGAATCCAAACAGACCAAGGGGCGAGCCCTGAAAGCCATGCATGCTCACCTTGCTGGAGGAAATTGGTCCGCTCCAAAAATCCGCTGTCGTGGGCTAACCGGAACTGCCCACGAGCAGAGAAAAAATGGCTATACTGGCGGCTTGCCTCCCCCGCGTGCACACACCACCCTCTCCCGCCGAACGCTGGCCTGGCAGCCCTGCACCCTCTCCCCATCGCCGGGCGGAGAGATGGGCAGTGTGACTTGCTTTTGGGGACCGTCTCCCGTGGAAGAACCGGTTCCCGGAACGAGTCGCTCCCGCGTGGGTCCCTCTTTATGGAAAGGGCGCAGTGCTGTCAGCTTGTTTATTTTTTATTTTTTATTTATGGTTGCACAGATTTCGCCTCCAGCGGACAGGATTGCGTTCGCCTCAAAACGCCGCTCGGCCAACACCACTCGGCCAGCGGCTCGTCGATTCTCTACGTGGGGCGGTCGCCCTCAGTGGCCTCCTTGGCGACCGAACGCCCGGGCAGTGACAGACGGCCCACCCGTATTTCGATAGAAGAGTAGTACTAAAAATCTGACCGTACATACATACGATGGGCATTCTCCAAATACTTTTTTTTCTCGTAGCGTACAATAAGGCTATATTCTAATTCTGCGAAATGTGTTTTCTAAACCTAAGCCGTGGCCCGCAGATATCTCAAGAAGCCTGAAGTTTTCCCGACCCCATTAGAAAAGTTCTTGACAGGCTTTCACGCATTTCAAGGCATTGTAAAGGGCACTTCAGGCATTTCAGGAGAGCCTCTGACGGGGCCAGCGAACCCACCAGGAAATATCGGTGCTTCCTTCAAACATCTCAGAAATTCCTGAAGTCCCCATCACACCCTTTAAAAAAATCCTGAAGTCCCATCAGAGCGATTTTCAATAGGGTTGTTTATCATCATAACGTTCTGCTATTTAGTGTGGAATTGCACCAGGTAGTGAAGTTTGTATATCAATATCTAAAGAAACTACCTTGCCTATGTAAACTGTAAGGGAGTAAGAAGTTATTTTATGTGCCTGGGACGTCCGCCTGCAAACGTCACAAGTCTAAATAAGGCGACAGATGGCAGAAGGCAGCTTCCGACCTGGACGTGTGTTCGTATTGCCAAAATCACCCGAAAACCCGTCTTTTTTTATTGGTTTAGTGCGTAATAACTGTGTTTTATGCCAGGAATGAGAACATTCCCGGACAGCCAGTACTGAACACGCGCAAGCATTGATGTGTTTGTACATATCGTCTTCTTTCGCCAAGGATGCTCCCCAAGATCTAGGCTTTTAGTTGGTAGAGTAGATAGCCTAGATCTTAGAAAGCAACTTAAGCAACGAAGAGCACAAATTTGTAATTTCAGCGTTCTTCGTGAGGGGAAGAGTATATAAAATATGAAAACAATACAAGAACTAACATTCCGGGCATGGGAATTGCGCGCGCTCCTGTGTGCTTCGTCGAGGGACGACAAGGGTACGCGGAAAGCAAAAACTATTTTGCAAGGCAGAGATGGCCTCGCTACTTACGTAGCGCCCGTCAACCCTGTGACCCTGATGAAGCATTTGCACAACTGACATTTGTTGCTTTACGCCACTCAATCGAACGTGTGGCGTTTAGAGACTTCACCCCCCCCCCCCTTCCTTCCACACACACACACACACCGTTTTCTTTTTTTTTGCATTTAATTTGGATAGGCTGCCGTTCTTCTTTTATTCAAATGTTGACACACGAATACGTACGGGCTTCGTACCAACGCCCGCGTTGATAACCATATGTTTATTTTTTGTTTCAAACGGGTTAGATCTAATTAGTCAGGACGGCCGTTATGAGTTAGCGGTTCAGGATTTTTCACCCTGTACTTTTTAAAATAAACTGTAGTGATTGGAATGACATCATCCGCATCGGAACAATGAGAGGAGGCCGAAGAAGAGCGGGGACCACGGGCACTTGCTTTCTCGGCGTGAGATAGAGGCACGCTCCCTAGACAAGACACCCACGGCCTGAACACTCAACGCCCCACTGGCCCACACCAACACACTGCTCGTGCGTCACGTAAACATTTTATTTAATTTTTTGTGTATTATTTAATCTGTGAATAAGCAGTGAAACAAGACTTTAGATACCCCCCCAATATGCTATACGTTACTCACCACCTAGTGCTTGGAAGTGGAGAACATTTCCCGCAGTGTATCCTTCATATGACGAAGGGGTAAACGTAAGCTTTCTGCGAAGAGAGCGCAAAACAATACGAAGAAACGACTAGGGTAATTTGTTACGCATATCAATATAATCAAGATAAACCTACATGTAATTCGTTTAGTTTTCATGCCAGAACAACAAATTTTGTATGCGCCGTTGTTTTCAGCTCTCGGCGTCACAAGTTATCATTTTAGAAGTCAGAAACATATAAGGTCTCATCCACCCCGCGGCTCGCTCTGCAATCGGCTGTAAGAATTTGTACCTGCTCCTGGTTATATTAAATATAACTAGGAGCAGGTACAGGTAATTACCCCGTGATATTTCAAGACGTCGATTTTTGTACTGTGAAAAAAATTAGAGTGACACTTTTGACATTGTCAAGGGTAGATAATGACCCCGACGATCGAATGACCGGAAGGTCTTGCTTGTGGTGCCATTTTATGGTAGGGGGAAGCGAGGGCAGGCAACACCAATCAGACTAACCCAAGCCTGTGCACTAGAATGTTTATGTCATCAGGGTGAAATCGAGCGATAAGACACCGATTGGACATGACTACCGAGTCAGCGTTCGGCTGGGCCTCGTGTCCAATCAAATCTTCGAAGGACGCTCGGCGTCGGGCTCGGGTCCAATTGCTGAGTTGGAGTCCTCCGACTGCGGTAACGTTCCATGCAGGAAGAGTGGGGCGTCGACGCTAATGATGGCACATGCCGACGTCATCTGCTTATGACCGCGAGTGCGTCCGCTGCCTCATGCGTCTATGAAGAAGAGGGCTCGGCAAGAACAACCAAACTGGCAAACTCTGCCGCCTGCGTCCTCATCCGCCGTTCATCGTTTGAAGGGTGGTCAGATTATTTTTCTCACGGAACGAAAACTTCGCCTGAAAATATCTCGAAAAAAAAAATCGGTCACAAAAGTGCATATTTGACCAAAAACAAAATGATATTGCTAACTGCGGCCGCAATTTTTGTTTTCGCTGATTCTAGACTGGATCGTTGTATCGATGATACATACCAGGGGTGGCCAAGCTGCGCCTCGCGAGCCGCATGCGGCTCTTCGCGTGTTAAAGTGCGGCTCGCGGCTCCAACCCCTACACCCCCCCCCCCCCCCCTTTCCCGGCCACGCTCCCGGTCACACGAGCACTTCCCCAAAAAAGAGAAATTGAACGCGTTTTAAATCGAAAGACAGCTAGGTAGCGTTTTGGTAGTCTTGGGCGATTGCTCGCTACCTTACGTACAGCTGGACTGCTTTTGACTCGGATAGATTGAAAGTAGTTCGAGCTTCGTTCATTGCTCTAAACAAAAGTTGCCCCCCCCCCCCCCTCCTCCCCCGCGGCTCTTGGAAGCTTCGTGGGTTGGTTTGCGGCTCTTAGGCCGGGTTAGCCTGGCTACCCCTGATATATACTATGCCGGGTGTTTCAAGAAAGGCTTTCGAAGATCCTTAAATATAAGGTAGTTAAGAAGGAACTAAACTCTTTTTGGGAAGAAACTGCCAGCCAAGGTGGACTCATGTATCTGCAAAATTATATACTAATTAACTAAATTGTGAACTAAAGTGTATTTATTAATTTTTAATTTGTGAAAGTAAACATATGGATGAAATTTATAACTTTCTAAGCATCTTTGAAAACGAATAAATCTACTCATCTTACGACACAAATTTATGGCGTTCCAAGGAGAAACAAAACGCATATGGACGTCTTTTTTTACTTATGGTTTCTTACATACATGGGTAAATTACTTTCAAAATGTAATTCAATTACAATTACAATTACTTTGCTTCAAAAGTAGTTTAACTACAAATACAATTACTACTACGTGAAAAGCAATTAATTACAATTACAAATTACTTTAGAAAACTTATACAATTACTTTACAATCACTCATTTTTGACAGCGACCCGACTTTGGCCATAAAACATTAAACGAGTTCTATAGAATGCAGCATATTTGTTCATTCCTTGCCCCAATGTTTGAGGAGGCTTAAGCATCGCTGCATAAATGCCAAATATTATACTTTCCTATTTGTTGAATTCATGATAGAACTTGACAGTTTGAGGCAGGCATGTAGCCAGGATTTTATTTCGGGGGGGGAAGGGGGGGGGGGGGGGGTCGCCCTTGACAAAATGCCGTATGAGGTGAAGGAGGAGAGAAGGCCGCAGCAAAATGGTAGATTTCGGGGGGGGGGGGGGGGGGGCATGGACCCCCGCCCCTGGCTGCGTGCCTGGTTTGAGGCAATGAAGTAGAAAGTTATTTTATTTTTATAAGTAATAATCAATTAGTTTATATGCTTGAAGACGCCAGATCGCTAAAGCAAAAAAAATGGATTGACAGTTTTCTTAGCCCGGCAAATAAAATGCGACACTTTGCCATATATGAAGATTCTACAAGTGTTAATATAAAACTTAAATCGACACGCGCTAATACGACCACATTCACATACAAACATCATGGTATTGTAAATTATTTACATTGAGTTGAAATTATAATGGCTCGGAAATATATAAGAACCGAATCGAGGCTCCCGAATCATTGGTGACAATATTCACAAGTGCGAGGTCAGTTTCCAAAATGCTTATGCAAAACAAAATATACGAAGTAAAGCCAGAAAGAAATAAAATTGAAAATAATACGAAGATACAAATATGCGACAGTACTGAAGGCAAGACGTAAAACACTGGCAAAAAAGTAAAGAAAAATATCTACATAGACAATTCAAATTTCCTAACTCAACTGAAAGCTGAAGTTCAATTTTTTCCTTCAATGTTTCGGCATATTTACGCTATTGTTTTTTAATCGCACAGCAGGCGGCGCAACACGGCGCCATTGATGTAGGCTCCAAAGAGGATTACCTCCCAGCCCGCAGTGTTAGCAACAAAACAACAAACAATGCGACAGGCTATTTATGTTTTGCGTGTGTGTGACTGCGTGTCTTTGTGCGACTGTTTCACCGAGAGTTAGGCCGCCTGTGCGAGCGCTGAGGCTCTCAGAGAGGATCCGTCGGCACCGCAAAGTTTGGCAAAAGTAATTGTAATTGTTCCTGAACTTTTGCAATTACTGAGGCTAGAAAGTAATTAAATTATAATTACAATTTCTTTTGGCCGAAAGTAATCAATGACAATTACAAATCACCAAGAAAAGTAAATAAATTACAGTGATTTAATTAGTGCAATTGAATTACTACCCAAGTATTGTTCTTTATCGCAGCGCGTCTTTGCCCCAGCGGTCCTGCTCCCCGGTGACCGAAGCTCCTGAAGCTGCCGCCTCGCCTCCCTTGTACAATGGAGAAAAATTTCACACGTTCCACCAACTTATCGCTTTTCTTCGCAATAGGTTCGTGGAACCAATATTCTTTAAACTGACTAACCAGCTCGATGTTGTTTTTTATTTTTTTTTTATTTGCAAAAGTTAAAAAGATACGGACAGTATTGACTCCCAGAATGTACGAAATCGTCCGATCAAATATGTTTTGCGAATAATGACACTACGCCTGACACATATTTATATTGCAGCGGTTATGAAAGGATAGTTCCCAACAGCTATCAGCGAATTATGGTAGCCGTGATTTATAAAAAAAAAAGAACGACTTTGGTAACTATGAGCCAGAATCTGTACTTCCGTTCTTTTTTTTTTTTTCTTTTTTGAGAAGTGTTAGAACGAATAATTCATTGCCGCCTCAATAACATTTTCTTAAAGCATTCTGTAATACCCGATAGCCAGTATGGGTTTACTGAAATAAATCAACGGAACATGCCTTGCTTATCCAAAAATGAATAAATTTTAAAGAATTTTGAATCACAACGTCTTACCCTTGGTATTTAATGAATTTAGTAAAATATTTAATACTCTAAATCACGAAATAATTCTCGCTAAGCTCGAGCATTACGGTGCCCGAGGACACGCCCTCAACCTTATGATATCACATTTAAGGTCGAGATTATAGTTACGAGCCTTTTCCTCCTTCGACGTTGGACAACCAAGTGGCACTGCTAACCGAGTATTGACATTATTAGCGCGGTGGTCATTCGTCAACTCATTGAAAATAAAAATGAGGAAATTAAAGCTGGAATATTTTGTCCTAAAGGAAAAGTCGTAATGCACCCTCCGCCCTTAGATTTGGGCAATACCGTTGTCGAGTACGAAGAACGTTTTAGATCTCTCGGTGTCAGGTTTACTGCAACGATGACATGGGATGCCCACATAAACGAGATGTGTCTTGCCCTTTCTAAGGTTGTTGGAATTATCTCACAAAATAAGCACGTTCTACCTGAAAACAAAACTGAGCTTACTCTGTATATTACGCATTGTTTTGTTCATATATAATTCTACTGTTTGCATGTCTGGGGTGATATCACGGCATTCAATATCGAGAAGTTTCTGATCTTGCAAAATAAAAAGTTACGTGCTGTTATAAAAGCTCTATATAATTCCCCAACCCTGCAGGCTTTCCTGCAGTTTAAATTATGTCTCTATACAATTCATTTTAACATAAATTTGCGTGTTTTTACAAAAATGTTAAAATAAAGAATGATAATTTTCTTTCACGTATTGTTTCCACTGTCACCCACAATACACCTTATACATTCAGGAAAAAAAGAAACCACTTTTGATGTACCTAGATTCAGAACAAACTATGGCTCTTGTATATTACGGTATTCCTTGCCTACGTTTTTGAATGCGCCTCTATGAAAACACCTGAGTGATACGTCTTCTTTTTTCCTCCGGAAGGATTTTCTATGATTTGTCTGTACTTCAGATATGTGAAACATGTGTAACCTACGCGCAAAACTATGTGTACCTCAATATACTTTTTTATTTTATTTTTATTTTGTGTTCTATACAGCGTTTACACTGCTGGCTTCTAAGGGTGGCGAGCTCAGTCCAGCAGTGGACGACACTGCTTTTTTCTCGCTACCCTTAGTTTGTGTTTCAAGCTCAAATAAACGCTAATTGACTGATTGATTGGCGTGTGCTTCGCGTCTCAGCCATTGAAAAGTACAACCACTGGTGCAAAGACATCCTCAACGTTCTTGGTCTCGGTGTATGCACTAACGTTAAAATTTCATCTAAACAAAAACAAACATCGCAATTTTCCCCAGGAATATTTCATATGACACTCATAGAATGTCAATAACCAGCAATTGAAATTTTGGTCGCGTGTAATTTCTAATTTACGGCTCTACATTTTTTTCATTGAATCCTTTGAGTTATTCACATGATTCAATAAATAAACAAAATTATTCATTTCTATCTTTCTTGACAAAATATCCTAATATTCTACCGGACTTCAGTTGCCTCTAGAACGCAAATTAATTAGAATTGTTTATATTTCCTAGAAAACTTTATTATTACACAGAATGTCCCAAAAAGTTGGCCATGTGCGTTCGATATGAAACCGGAACCTATAAACGCGTCCGAATCGAGCGTTTTCTTTTTAGAGTGATAGCTGCATTATGTGCCTTTTGCACCACTGGGAATCACGTCCGTTGTTGATGTTCTAGTTGTAGATGCTGGTGTTGTTGGCGATGTAGGGCGTCCACCGTTGATATTGCCACATTCTTGAAAAGATCGCAAGTCGCCAGCTAGAATCGAACCTGGTCCCGCAGTGTACGAAACGGGGACGTTACTACCGACCTACGCCACAGCGCTAATAACCCACTCGAAACTTAGGGCCTTTAGTACCCGATGACCACCGCACGCGCTCATAAAAAAAGGGCTGTTCTAGCCCTGTCAATGTCAGGAGCTCATGCAGGAATACGCGTTTTTGCACGCTCCGCCAAAAAAACAAAAAAAAAAAATAACCGTTTGGAATAGAATAGTGACCTGCCTAATTTGTTTCTGTACTACCTAATGCCCACTGCACTCGCTATCTGGAGAAAAAAAAAAGTTATAACTGACCAAGCCTGGCAGATAGTCACGTGGCGCGGCCGCCGAAAGTGAAAAGGTAGAGCGGCAAGCAACGGATAAGAGGAGAATCATGTAACGGGCGCCCCGCTGCGGTGAGACGCCGAAACACGCTATACTTTTTTTTCTTCTGCTGGCGACGGTAAATGGAAAGCCACACCTTTCCCGTTCCTCCGTTTCGGTTTCGTCTGTATTGTTTGCGCTCCAAATTGTGCGGCAAACTGCCGGGGCTGATTGATTACAGATTACAGATATTGATACACGGGAGCAGCGTCGAAAAATGAGTATCCCCTGCTTGGAGGTTTTGGCGAGCCATTCGCCGTAGGGCACACAACTGCCCAGACAACGCAAATGGTATTGAGGACGTCCTCAGCTGATCGACACATCTGCGTCCCGACGAAAACGTCTCGACGAAGACGAAGACGACGAAGACGAAGACCTTGGCACATAGGATAGAGGCCTCTGAAACAACGCCGTAAATAGACGTCGAAACAAAACAGTCGGTTTTTGTTTATGGGTTCTTCCGCTGCACAGCTGCACAATACGACGACGAGGCTGAGCACGCTGACGACGTAGCCTCCGCCATTGGCTTCGACGGCCGGAATCGCCGTAGCATCGACATCAGCAGCCAATCGTATCGGTTTCCCCCGGCCGAACAGTGTGTTTAGGGTCCCCGCCGCTCAAAAGCTGTGCGCTCACTACCAGATTCCCCGAGGAATGCGCTGTGCTATAAGATGCGCGCGCTCTAAATCTGAGACTGCCCGATCTATGGCTCCGTCGTCGAACTGCGAGGCTTTGGAAGTATAGAGGAGGCTATGCTATAACATTATGCCATCGTAGCACTGTCAGTGCCAAGAGCTCACATCGGGAGACACGCTTTCACGTTCTCTGGAACAAAAAAGAAACAAAAGCATTTGGAAGGAACCAGGTATCTGTTTTGCTCCGGACGCTTTGATTCACTCTCCTTTTACCCCACGGTATTTGAACTCGACGCCGATGCCCAACGACTTCATCGTTGCGTGTCGCAGCTATACCAGTGACTCAAGTGTGGAATAACATAGGACTGCTCAATCTTTTACAACCCCGTAAAGGGCTGCCCCGGTCTTAAACCTTTCTAAAATGAGTGGATTTACCTAATGGATTTTATGAGGCTTAGAAAGTTCATTTTTGAACCCATGTGTTTAATTGCACTACTTAAAAAGTTATTTAGTAATTTTTATTTCATTATTAAGCTAATTAGTAAGTTTCATGCAATTTCTGATGTCTGCCGCACCTGGCCGTTTGTTCTCGGGAAAAGTTGTTGCTTCTTTTCTGAACCATTCTATTTTAGGCATTTCAGAAAGTCTTTCCTGAAGCACCCTTTATATGTGTAATAAAAGACTTAATTTTAAGCAGAACATTAAATGAGCTCGGGTGGATTGTATACGGGCGCAAGACACTTTATGATTTATGCATTATGCATGAATCAATTTGAATGTTTCCTGCGCAACTATTGAAAACGCTTGAAGGGCCAACAACTATTGTTTGCGGAAAATGATAAGCCCCAAATTGAGTACAGATAACGAACTTTCGCTATCTATAATCTCTCACTCTTACACCATACGAATCATACAATACAACAACCAGTTCCGTTATTTTATAATGCAAAAAAATGGCTCTGTCAGGTTAGTGTATGTCACCACACAACAGTTTTCAGAAAAAAGGAATCGTGCAGGTTAATTATAAGACCCGAGAATGAATTTTTGGTCAATACCCTATGCAAGTACGACACAGTTCTATGCATAAAATGAAACACCATTTTGGAATGATGGCGGCTCTGAAATAGCACCAATCAGAATAATTGCATTTTCTTCGAAGTTGCAGACTCATCTGTTTGTTTCGCGCGCTCACAAACGACGAATTACTACAAAGTTATTTTGTTCGAAAAACAAAATAGTGTAACATTTGATGGCTCTTAAATGAGTCGTAGACGGCGTTTGAGGAGGTGAAATTGTTGTGCAGCTAAAATGAGCGACCTAAAATTAATAAACATTTTTTTGTTCTGACATTCTCGTTTAGACCTCTAGCTCTAATTGTGCGCAGTGGGCAACTTCGTAGAAATAGTCATAAAAGTATTTTGAAATTCTAACGGGACTTAATTGATATCACTGTGACTAGACCATCATCTTCAGTTTTTCCGTTTCTCCACGAACGTTATTTTTCATATTGAGAAGATAATAAAAAAACTGGGTACAATATAAGTTGCCAACAATAACGATAGTTTCATTTTGTTACATATATTGTAACAAATATATTGATAGAGTACTTACGCGGTGCCATCTCCAGTTTGCCAGAGCAGTGGGTAGGATCCATTTACTGCGGGACCCTGGCTAGAAAATTGGGCACAAGGCGCATAGCCAAACACAGGGTCCGTCTCATAGTTCCTGTACACTTCGTGCCACGTCTCTTGAAGGGGAAGGCACTGCACAGATGAATTGGGAAAAAGTTGTCGAATAGTTATCAGAATACATACATTATATCGCGTATCATCAGCATAACAACTAACAGTTAAACTGATTTAAATTTGAAGAATATTCTCCAACCCCAAAACCACAAAAGGAACTACCGACGTTTCGAAGTCTACTTGGCTTCTTCAAGAACAGTGGCTATAGGTCATATTGGGAGGTCACAGCTTCAACCTCTTTGTCTTTATAAATGTGAAAACATGATTTCGTTTCTTAAAGTTGGCGGTGTTGTGGTCACTGGAGAACCATTAAATTATTTTGCAAGAAATCACTAGTTTTCTTGCAAATGTGCCCAACCACCTACGTTAACGAGACAAAAACTTTCGCGAAGGAATGCGCCAACAGAAGAACGACGTGCGTAACTTTGACCGTGAACGCAGCGCAGTAGCTGAACGCTGCGAAGCGCGTGACCGTCCAACTGACTTCGCTGATGCACACGTGATTGACACGGAGCCTAATTTCCAAAAAAGGCTTTTTTTGGTATCTTGGCACATCCAACAGGACACCAGGGAACATTGAGATATCTGTAGGTGCCTTACCGTCTGTGCACGGGCAAGGTACACGTCACGTTACGAGAAAATTGACCAAAACCTCGCCTACTTAAAAAGAGGAAATAATGTTTTATCATCTAAAAACACGAAGAGATTGAAGGTGTGACTGTCCCATGCGACTTATAGCCATCTCCGGGCCCATTTGCTCGAAACTGGTTAACTCTAGCAGGTCAGGTCAGGTCAGGTCAGACGACGTTTATTAAGAATGGAATTCAATTGGCGGTTTACGCTATGATAGGGTCAGAGAGGAGAGGCTTATTGGGACGATGAAAGCGCGTAGGGTTCTAAGTGTGGCAGCTACAAGTCTCTGCCGAGGTTGGCCGTCTTCAGAAAGTCGACCAGCGATCGGAGGATGAGCTTGCGTCGTTCGGAGTTTCCTGCTGGGTTTACCCATTCCTCGAGTGTTGAAGGTTTGTCGTCACGGTTGAGTGCTCCCAGGGCGTCATTGCGTTCTTGGTCGAGCTTTGAACATTCCCAGACCTAGTGTTGAGTGTCTGCCCTGAGACAGTACTTGCGCTGGTCTGGTTTCGGTACAAAGTCCGGATTCCTCTTCTTCTTTTTAGCATCCACCCATTTCTTCGTTATTCATGGGGTGATTGCAGCTCCTGCTTGGATTCTTCTTACCAGGACGGAGTTGTGTCTTCGGAATCCCTTCGGAGGGCTTTCCCGTGCCACGTCTTCGTGCTTGTCGATATTTTTCTTCAGAGCGATCCTGGCTGCTTTAATTTCCCAAAAAGGGTCGTAAAAGCCGTCAGGTTCGCTCTTCGGAGACTCGATTGGTTGTGATGTTTGTGGTGGATTCTGATGGGTTCGAGCAGGCGCAGGGGCTTCAGAGTGGCATTGAAGGCAGCGGAGGAAGGAACGAGTTAACTCTCCTGCCGCCTCGTTGGCTATCTCGTTGCACTCGATCCCTTCGTGACCCAGGATCCAGCGTACCGAAGCTCGGATCCAAAGCGAGCATCGCTTTGGATCAGCAAATATGTCGCAGTCGCTGCACTATCGGGCACGTCTCTCAGCAATGAATAGTGCCGAAGCCTTTCGATTTGCCTTCCCTCACTAAATCGCAAAGTATGAGCAATTATCTCGCCTTCGTCTCTAGATCGTATTTCGATTCTGGCTATTCCCAAGCCTAAAGGGACGCAGAAATTGTCAACGTGGTGGCGTCTTTGGAATCCTAGTGGATTTTCTTGACTTGATAGACCCATAGTTCTCAAGTTTGCAGTAGCGATCCAGGTGAGCAAAATAGAATATTTGGGTCGCGTTTGCGTCAATACGCTTCCCCACCACAGTTTTTTATACTCTGTTCCATTCGAAGTGCCAGTAGTGTCAGTGCCAGCGTAGCAAGGGTTTTAAGCAACGAGGTAAAGGGGCCTAGAGCAATGAACCGGGGATGCGGTCTGCACTCGAGAGTGCCCCCCATAAGGCGGCTGCCAATTTACGCAAATTTGACCACTCGTCACATGACCAAACCAAATACGTGACGTCACAGGAAAGATGGCAGCGCCCATGCAGCGGCTGGCCCCAGCCGGGCCGGTGCTTGTCGGATTCTTTGTTGGTTGTCGGTCGTCTCGGCGAGTTGATTTGCCGAACATTAGATATTTGAAAGGGATATCTAAAACTCGGAAGCAGTTTTTTTTTTTCCTATCTTATTTTATAACGGACCGAAACGGCACATACTAAAGTTCGAGATTGTTTTAGTATGTTTTTAATACCCCAGGTTAACTTCTCTGTCTTCTTTTCTGCCCGTCTTTTTCTTGACCTTAATCAGCTCGCTTCACTTGTCACACATCCTTGTGTCCATTTATGCGACGAACCACCCAAGCGACGGTCGCAAAGGGGTGAGAATCTCCTATTTCTTCGTGGCTGCCACGACCATCCGAGAATCACCCGACGTTCACTTGTAAGAAATGGCTTATAAGCCGTGACAATTTTTATCACGCGTTTTAACATTTAACCTAAGTCCAAAGACTGAGACAATGTGGGCTGAACAAGTAATGCTTTATAAGATTCAAAGAAAACAAGAAACTATTTCACATCATTTTGAGCAGAAAACATGAGCACACGTAGATCAGGCAAGGAAAAAGTTGTAATAGTTTACAGCACGGCATTGAAATAATGGCTACAATGTGCAGCGCATACATGGTTACAATATGCAGCGCATTATCCTCTTGAAGGAAAACCATCTGAAACCCACACGCTCATAACAATACATTTAACCGACAGCTGCTTTCTGACAACCAGGTAAGTCTCGCCTGAGCTGGGAGCATTCGAAGGGAAAGACCCATGGTTCCACAGGGGGCGCGTCTGGTTCACTCAGACATTCAGGGTGTTTTTGTTTTATTCTTTACAGAACTTTGCATATTTTATAAAAAAAGGATGTGGCAGATATGTGGATGCCGTCTTTCGTTATATCTGTAGGGCTCGGTGCACAATGAATGGGTGAATAACCGCTGCAATGTTTAATAATGAACCAAGATCTGTTAGTTAACTTGTTTATTAACGGCTTAATTGGCCATGGTGCAATTGCAGTTTTAAAAGGAGTCATTATTAAGGGCAAACACAATTTCGACAATTCGTGAAAAGTCAACGAGGTTCGCAAAATTAATCGTAAAAGTTTGCCTTTCTTCGCTTGATTCAGAAACCGCGGTATGAAAATAATACGTAGAATAGTAACTTAGTCGTCTTGATGTGTGGCGCCGGCGAGTCCACCGAAGAAACGCTGTCGAGTTAGTGACGAGGGGACAGAAACAACTGCGTCATTCTTCTACGCATCAATATCAGCACAACCTCATTCGCGCTATCACCGCGCAGTTTTTTTAATCAAGTGAAGAAAGGCAAAATTTTAGCGATGAATATCTCAGGACAGAACGAGCGGGTTGGTAGAGATAATTAAGCTTGAGGAAGAAACTAAAATGGACGGACAAACACAGCAAAAACGAACGCCTTGTTACTTTCGCTCAAAGCTCGTTGTTTGTTCGCGAACTTTTTAAATTAGGTTGGCCTTTAATGATGGCTCCCTTTAAAGCTGCAATTGCAACATGGGCCATCAAACATTTCATTAACCCTTTGCCTACCGCAAAAATTAAAAAAAAAAAAGACTTGAAAATGCCGATTTTTTTTACGTGCCCTATACTCTGTTTCACCTTGTGTTGTACCTCAGGAAAGGCTACAAACGCGAGCTCCTTGCTCTAGGGCACATCTCGGCGGCACGAGCTCCCGTGCACCAAGGGCAGCTGCCAACGCTATGAGCTCGCGCTCCTTGCTTTCGCTACATGCACCGCTCAAAGAGAAAAAAGAAAAAAAGAAAAAAAGGCGGGCTGCGCGAGCCGGATAACTCGACTACAGCGCCGCCACGAACTGTCAATACACGCGCCCTCACGAGCTCCCGTGTCCGAGCCGCTCCGGTTCCAACACTACCCAAGTATTCTAGTACACTGTAGTTCGGCTGAACGTCTTTTTGCAAATAACTTTAGCTTCGCTATCACGTATAGTGAAAGGAACGTGCTCACGGAAGCATGAAAGAAAGCAGTGCAAATAGTAAAGCTGAAAGGAATGTTTAATGGGACGCTGCGACCGTAAGCGGCATCATTCTTTTTTTCTTTTTTTACTTTCTTAGAAGTTTTGTTATCGCGCATCTATTAGTGGCGAGATGTTTCGGTGGCGCCCTCGTTCGGTTACCTTTTGTGACGTCATTACCTTGTGAGCAACGAGTTCGATGGTGTTTGTAATGAGCAGGTGGAAGCCTGAAATCATAGCGCCCTCAAAGCAACACTGCCAACACCGTCAAAATAGAATTTCTTACATTCCTGAGAGACACCAGGGGGCCGAGCGCAGCAGAATTGCTCCACATGGACTCCTGCCCTCTTTAGGCAGTTAACGCGAAAGTACCAAAATATCCTTATAATCTTCAGGGTCATTCAATTCACCAAGAAAAGCGGCACCGAGGGATACCACAGCTGTACAAGTGAGTGAATTTTTCGGCCAAATTTCCACCTTGGAAAGATTTACCTCGTATGCGGAGAGCTAAGCCTCACCAGGAATACAAGCGGTCGCCATCTTAGCTATACTCGAACACGGGGCACCCGCCGAGAGAAAGAAATAGGCGAGACCCAACGCCAATACCCGCTTTGCGCGCGGGCCTTCGGGCCCCGCAAGCATGATACATACGCAAGTAACAAAGCAGGGAATGAACAACGAGATAGACATGGAGAACAGCGCGAGTACCAGAACGAGCGGCACGCACATGGAGTTCGATGAAAACAGCGGCAGGACGCTGAGCCAGCCTGGCTCGTGATACCAAGTTCTCAAAGAAAGAAAAAGCCAGAAAATAGCGGATGAGAACCGCATAAAAGGAAACAGCAAGGCGAACAGCGCCCAGAATCTAAAAGAAGAGATGAGTGGGCTGACCAACCCAAAGATGCAACCGACCAACAACCAACTGCAGCAACAGCGACGCGGGGACGGAAGAACCCGCGGAGGCAACAACACGCCACCAAGGAAACGCATGTTGCCACCATTACCAGAGGATGAATACAAGGTAGTATACAGACCAAGAACGGGCCTCAAGCTTTCTTCGTGGTCTGATAAAAGCCTCACGCAAGGCATCGCCACAGCAGGCGGTTTTCTATTCAAAGACTTCTACTCGAATGTGACGATCCAGACGCAATGGGCTCAGAACTTGATCATCGCAAGTACTGCGGACGAGGACTACGCCATGAAGCTGAGCATGATCACCCAGATACAGCTAGGCCCGGCCTTGTACGAACTCATGCCTTACCTAAAACCGCTCCCGGGCACCGTACGAGGAGTGGTGCACGGAATAGAAGCAGGAACAACAGAAGAGGAACTTAAAGAACTTATCTCAGTCAACGGCTACAGCATTCTGCACGCAAGAATGCTCGGAAAATCCAGCTCGGCGCTACTCACGTTTGAGGGACCGCACGTGCCATTCTACGTGAAAGCAGGTAGCGTGTTCACCCGATGCCGGCCCCACCGCAGATCCATGCAGTACTGCAGAGCGTGCGGGAATGTCGGCCACAGACAGGACGTCTGCCCCAACCCGGACACAAACAGGTGCAACCGATGCGGAGCGGAAAATCCTCAAGACAATCACAAGTGTCAGCCTAAGTGCAAGCTGTGCTACCAACCCCACGAAACGGCAAGCAAGGAATGCCAGAAACGACTCAAACCAAGTCCCCCACCGTTACACGTGAGGGAAAGAAGCAAATCGCAAAGTAAACAAGCCGCTTGGACGGGAGTTGCAAACGACCGCACTTTCGAGCAGCAGCAACGGACGTCATTGCCGCAGGACAGAGTGGTGAGCTGGCCCCAGCTGGGGCCAGCTGGGGCCACTGCCGGTCACGCAGCAGGATTCAAGTAACGCACATTTCGAGCAGACCATAGACACACTTAAAAAACAGAACGCGGAGCTAATCTGGCGCTTAGA